GGACTGCAGACTACGCCGTCGCCGGCGACTCACGGCAGCCCAGCTCCAGGTTGAGCTGTTGTTCAGCATCTTAGCTGCGGAGGGCAGTGTCACTGGCCCTCATATGTGGGATCCGAACTGGGGCCCTCCGGCATCCCAAGCCAGTTCTCAATCATCGCGCCACTCGGCCGGCCCTAATTTTGTTTATTTAGCCTGTCATCTTGTCTGTATCCCTGGTCCCTGCCCTCAGCAAGGTCGAATAGGCAGAGATTGTCTATCTGGGTCATCTTTGTATCCCCCGTCCTGAAAACATTGGAGGTATATAAGGATATGTATAAGAGCACTCATCCTTCAGGACTCAGCTCAAGTGTTCCATCTGTGGGAATTCTTCCCTCAGAGCCTGTCTGCCACCACCACCACCACACTGTCAGCAGCAGCAGCAGTATTATTACCATCTCCATGGCAAATCATTAGCACCCCCCCCACCACCATCACCATGGTCGCCATGATCACCTAGCTAACTTTGATCACCACCATATCATGTCTACCATCCTTACTACGATTATTACTATTGTTACCAACACCACTCCCACCATCACACTGTCACCATCATCAGTACCATCTCTGCTCCCATCCTTACTATAAACATTAATACCACCAACACCTCCACATCACCTCTACCGTGATTTCTACCATCCTGACTATGATTGTTATCTCCACTATCACCACCATCAGCAGCAGCACCATCAGTACTACACCCCCGTGGTAAATCACTACCGGAGCACTACCACTGTCATCATGACCACCACAGTCACCAATCTCACTGTCATCATCATCAGCCCCATCAGCACTACCATCCTTAAAAGCAAAACATTACCAACAGGACCATCATCACCATCATTATTACTACCATCACCACCATCGCCTAGAGTTAGGGGTCCCCCCACTGCGCTCCCAAAGCCGGTTACACACATTTTTCATACTGTTTTATAATCACCTGTGTACACGTTTGTCTTTCCCACTGAGTGGTGGCCTCCTCAAGAGCAAGGACTGTGACTCATTCATTTATGTATCTCCTGTACTTCACACAGCACCTGGCACATAGGAAGTGCTAAGTCAATGTCAGCTGAGTGCATGAATGAATGAATGAATGAATGAATGAATGAATGAATATTACTATAAATAATAATCACTAACAATCATGAACATTTCACTTAAGCCTCACGATAATCCTATGAAGTGGTTTTACTATCCCTATTTTAACAATGAGGAATCTAAGGTTAAGTAACTTGCCCAAGGTCACTCCATTAGGAAATGACAGAGACAGTATGTGAGCCCACATCATCGGACTCCAGGGCCACAATGAGTAATTATAATATGATATTGTGCCCAGCTTTTCCTCTCTTGTGAGATGGGATTACAGGGGGAAAGCATTCACCTCAGGGAACCTGGAAATCCTCAAAATGTGGAGAGTTGTTTTATCATCGGCCCAGCATCGCCTAGGACCTGACTTTGCACTTAGCTACTCTGAGTTGGGCTGTGTCTCTGAGCGTGACATGTCCCCCGTTCTCAGGGGACACTTCCAACTCTGGGTTAAAGGGTGATTGTTTATGCTTGTTTCTAATGAGCTTCCTATCTTAGAAGGGGAAAAACAAAGGCTATCTAATAAACACAGCTGACTTGCAAGGCTTGAAATATCACCAACTCCTAAGAGAGGAAAAGCAATTGTGCGTGAGGGTGTGCAAACTCACACGGGGCAGTATAATTGAAGGAAGCTCTCAAGGAGTCGGAGTATTTGACAGGAATGCACCATCCGCTGCCACAAAGCTGGGCTCCTGACACACCTACCCCGGCAATCCCCCCGACACTACTCCAGAACGGGATGTAACAGTTAGTGGTGACATGTTCAAAACATTCCCTCTGCATTCCAGGTACTGCTGAAGAGGGTGTGTGTGTGGCATGTGTCTACTTCTTCATGCCAAGAAATATCACAAAAGAGCCACAATGACCTGGCCCACCAGCCCAGCTTTGTTTCCTGAGAGGGGCCCCTGAAAGGCCATGTCCCCTGGTGCTCTCCCCAACTCAGAAACTCTACTGCTGCCCAGCAGGCTATGTGAGCCACGACCAACAGCATCTTTTCTATTTATTAGCATTTATTGAGTATTTATTGTGTGCCATGCATGGCACTATTTTCCCACATTGTCCCAAGTGACACTCATCACAAGGACCCAATCAACCAGGTAGATTAGCATCCCTATTTTATAGACAAGTAACCAAGGCTGGAGAGCTAAAAACTACACTAGAGGTGACATGTCATCCGTGGTGAAACCAGATTTCAACCCAGGCCTTCAGACCCCAGAGACTGTGGCCTTAACCACTTGGCTACACTGCCTCCCCAATTATAGGGCCCTTCAAGAGAGAGCTCCTGATACACACGAAAGGGGAACTTTTGGAGGCTTCTGTTTTTCTGATGTGGGCAGGAAAACACGCATACATTAAACGGAAGTGCAAACTTTACAAGTAGCTCCTATGCATTTCCTTAAAGGTTGCTGTGTGTATAGCATTTCTCCTCACAGGGCCACAGCTCCATAAGGGCAGGAATTGTGTGTGACATTATTTTGCATCTCCCACACGTAGCGAAGTGCCTGGCATCTAGCAGGTAATGCGTTTCAAAGAAGGCCGTGAGGATAATGATCATAACGGTGCTGTATTCTGGGCCCACTTGATCTCTCCAGTCTGGTTCCCTACAGTTTTCCTCCAGGCAGTCTGTGTTACAGCCAAGCTGACCTTCTCCCCCAGCTGCCAAGACACACCATGTTTTCACACGTCTGCGCCTTTGCCCACGGTGTGGCCTCCACCTGGAATGCTGTCCTTTGCGCTCCCTTGCTTCCTTCAAGGCCCATCTCAAATGCCACCTCCTCAGTGAGGTCTTTCAGCTGGGTTTAATCTCCCCTCTCTCTGAACTCCCTTAGTTCCTGTTAGCGCCTTCCTTTCGTCCCCCTCCTTCATCTCAGAGGCTTAATGTGATGCTGAAGTGAGATAATATTCTAGAAAGCTCTTTGTAAGCCAGGAGGCACTATCCAAACACCAGAGCTTGTGAAGGCTCATATCTCATCGACTAAGGAATGAGATTGCCAGTGGTGTCAGGTTCAACATTGCCCAGTACAGGACCTCACAGACCCAAGGCACAAGGAGCCTTTGCAGAAAGGCTGCCTGCAGACTTGTCTCCCTCTTCCTTGGAGACATCTTTAGGACCTTCCAGTCAGACTGAGGTGACTTTCATCTGGTCAAGGGAAAGTCTTATGAGGAATGTATTGAAAAACCATGGGCAAGAAGAAAATGGAAACCTCTACTAAACACCTCCTCCTAAAGACTTTCCTATACCACAGTGATTCTCAACTCTAGTATATCTAATACCCCATTTTGGGAACGAATATTTTGTAGCTCCCTTTCCTATTTTACAATGAAGTGCTCAGGTAATATGACATGACAGCGATTGGCTAACTACTCATCAAACCTGGATCCTCCTCCTTCTGAGTTCACTGAACTGGATTTCCCAGCCTCCCTTGCAGTGAGGTGCTGCCATGTGACTGAGTTTTATCCAATGGATTGGGAGTTCCACTTCCAGGCCGGAGCCCATGGAAACCTCCGTCTAGCAAAATCTAGGCCTTTCCAGATGACCTTAAGAAGCCATGGCGTAAAGATGACAGAAACTGACTGTGTGGATTTCAGCTGCCAAAAAGATATAGCATAAGGGAAAAATCAACTTCTATTGTTCAAGCCACTGAGATGTGACAGTTTATTTTCTATAGTACTAGCATTGTCTTAACTTAATGGTTACATCTATTAATACATACAATAGTTATGGATCTAATACACTTCCGTACAGCTATGGCTCCCAACCCGGAATAGATACTGTATTTTAGTGGCAGTAAAGAGGAGCTAAATACAATAAGTCCGGGCACAGGATCAAAAAACGTGGCTACTGCTCAATAGCTAAGTGATAGGAGTCAAGTTCATTCCCCTCTCTGGGTGTCAGTTTCTGTGACTGTAAAACAAAGGGTTGAAGAGATTATCTTTAAGATTCCATCCAGCGGTCAGCTCCATGGAGCCAGAAGCCATATCTGCCTTGTCCCCACTGTCTGCCCAGCATGGAACACAGAGTCTAGGACATAGAGGTGTTTAAGAAATACTTTTTGAATGAGAGAATAATTCTGCAATTTATACCTTACCCACACATATCAACAAGTCATATGAACTAGCAAATTCCCTCTTTTTGTGTAACAAAGAGCGTTGATGGTACCCTCCCAGAACTTTGGTGCACCCTCCCCTCTACCGCTCTCCCTCTCGCTGGCACACACATGCATACATGCCCTTCCCACTAAATAAACCCCAGGCCCCAGGACCTTCTGTAAACTTCTACTTTTCTGCTCTTAACATCCTGCTTCCGTGCCCTCCAGCCCCTCCCTGCGAGCTGCCAAGCTCTGTGAGTCCCCCAACTCTGCTCTGTCCTTCCTCTCCCCAAGTAACTAAAATGCTAACTATTTTAAGATGGTTGGAAATTAGAGCCTGCAATTAGCACATTTTTCCAACACATTGCCTAAACCACTGCTGTGTAGTGGGGCCAGGAACAAGTGCTAGTAAAGTTAACACTGTTTATTACCCAGGAGAAGCCATCCAGAGCTGAGCAAATGCAGCACCATGTGGAAGGCCCCCTTCCTTCCTGGGACAGCTCCGTCAATCAGCCTTTAATGAAGAGTGGTACCCTCCCCCAAAAGCCAAACTATATGTATCACAAACAGAGGAGAACCCCAGCTTTAAGGTCTGTGAGCTGTGAGATCTTGAATTAGTCAAACACCCTCTCTGAATCTCAGTTTCCCAACTGTAAAATAATGAAAACCTGTCTGATACACCTTACAGGACTATTATAATCACACACACACACACACACACACACACACACACAGGATCTAATGTGCTAATATGTGTAAAAGTGTTTTCTAAAACAGAAAAGCTCTCACCTTTAGGTTATTACTTGACGTTTTTCTCCTTGCATCTTTTCTTTCTTTCTTTCTTTCTTTTTTTTTTCTCATAGTTTGTGGAAGAAGGCAAGGTTCTGCCTGGCCCTGGTAAGGAAAGAAACAAACAGGACATGGTCCCTCCCTCCCAGGTCCAGCGTCCAGCTGGGGATGCATATGTGTCACTCCCATGTGTCCCTGCATAGCATTGTGCAGATGGTGCCCTACAGATGGCGTTCAGTAAAGGGGATGGTGTCCCTATGTCTCTCATGCACTCCTCTCACCAAGTCTTTGGTGTAGAGCTGTGTTGGCCAAGTAGAAGGCTCACCTTTCTCTAGTTTGAACAAAGGTGATGTTGGTTTGTACATCAGCCTTCTAAGCACAGTTAATGTGAGTCGGTCTTTGAAAGTCACTCCTGCTGTGCTGAAAAATCAGGTCTCTGAATCCATAAGGCTGAAGGCAGAATGTGGCAAATCCACAAAAGTTAATGCCTCTCCATGAAGCCTGCCTGTAGCAAATGAGCTGCATGAGCCCTCCACCCCCATTGTGCATAAAACAGCACAAGGATACATAGGCTTCGTTACAGGTCAGCTCCCACCAAAATAGATTATGAATGCTCCTTACTGAACTACACCTAACTTAAAAAAAGTAAGTAGCTTTCAAACCCAACATTTATCTTTAAAATGGTAGTTTTCTGTATCCTTCATGTATATTGGTGTTCTTATAAATTATTTGAAACAAACAAACAAAAAATGGTTCAGCTACCAAAATGAAAAACTTTGGAACCCTCTGCTCTAGAATAATCCATCTCATTCAAATTCAGATCATCTTCCCCAGAATTATGATGGTGCAACTCAGTGGAACTATATTATTATGTGTCTGTGACACTTTGGGGATTCAAGCCATCTTACCACAGAGCCCTCTTCTTCGTTTTTAATGAAGCATAGCACAGAAAGAGCATGTCATCACATGGTGAAAGGGACACTGTTGGGCATAGGATTTTACAAGCTAATAAGCTAGTATGTTACTGTTTCATGGATGCTGGTAGAAGACATGAGACTCCTGGGTCAAAGACAAAAGATGTTATTACTCACAGCACAGCAGTCAGCATGAGTAGCAGCCTGTTTGCATCATTTTCTTTGGCCCCAAGTTCCATGTGGCAGCATAATAAGGCCCAGATAGATGATTCACATAGAGTGACTGCACCCCAGTTGAGGAACACTGAACGTGGGGAATCTACCACTCTCATAGCAAGCAACAAACCCACTTGCAATTTGTCCTAAAGGGAGATATTACTTCATCCCTCCAGGGTGCTCACTGCAAACACAACTCTGAGATTTGGCCCAGGTTAAGAGAGGTCAGGGCCTTGCATTCTTGGCACACCCAGAAAGACATATAGAAATGTAATGATTCCGAGATTTTTACGTCCCAGAGAAACAAACAGTATGGAATTCTTAAAATGCATTAAGGGCAGCTCTTTAAATTAAAAAGTCAGTTTCTCCTGAATATCGCCCCTGATCCTCCTAAGTTGATTTGGATCTGCCTTCTCGAAGAATGGAACACTTGACCTCCTGATTGAACTACAATTGCCAATCTACTTACCCCTCCATGGCCGCTGCTACGTACTGCACAGCTCCATGAAGGCACGGGCCACGTCTTTGAATGTACCATGATGCAGAGCAGCTAACGCAGTATCAGGGTCTACTATGTGCTTAATAATTGTCTGTTGAAAGAATTAGTGATTTAGACGATCTTATTTGAACAGGCGCTCCTGAGCCTTGGCAAACCCTACTCCTTCAGTTATATCAGAATTTAGGAAACTGCAATCAATGGCATCCCTAGGCAACTCTATAAGGACAACAGGCTGGAAAGATGCAGGATGTATCTGGAGAAGACCACTTGAAGGGTTTTTAACCCTCCCTCAAAAGCCACTCCCCTAACCAAATGCACACTGTCGGCCAGTGCACACCGTCTGCTCTGCTGATCTCTGCTGATAAAAAGGTGACTAGAAACAAGGAGAAGTATCTTGGGCAGGAGTGAAAACCAGGTACTGAATTCTTACCTCCAACACTGGCCATTTCCAACTGGGAGACACTGGACGTTTCAGGACAGCCTATTTGGAGTACCTGTTTTTTATGCATATAAAAGATCATCTAGTTATTTTTCCAGGAAAAAAGAAAGGAAATTATGGGCTGGAGTAAAGGACCTCATTTCCAGCAGAGCTCCCTTCCATGTAACTATACCATTTCAGCCTTGGGATCCTATTTTACTAAATGCCCTCAATGTCATGTTCCAGAGAAAGAGGACTAATTAAAGTTAGCCCTCCTGACTTTCCACAGCAATCATTCTCCCAGGATATACATGACCCAGGGCCCTTTCCCTCCCAGCAATATCTGTCCTCCCAATCTTACTAGGAAATCCAGGCCAGCTGGTGATTTCAAGCTCCTTTATCTGCTGCCATAATGAGTATCCCAGCATGCCATGGGGCCCCACTCTGCCAGCTCCCAGGCTACAATGCCAAGTGGAATAATAAATAGTTGCCACGTGGGGCTGAACTGACACCCTAAAAAAGGAAGACCCAACACAATGACTTACCAAAAATAGGCACGTGCCTCAACTTTAGATTTCTCATTCCCAGGCTAGCCTACCAGATACACACAGTTCCCACTCCTTTCAATGGAGGTGACGTTAGGTGAATGGCCTTTCAGGCCAAGTCCTTCATTGTTTCTTTGATATCAGTATTTTATTTTTATAATTCTGGTGGACCTAGTGTCAACTCATTGTGATAGGAGGGGACCTACTAGCTAGAGAATAAAAATCATGGATTTAAAATCAAAAGGCTATAGATTTTAATCTCCTTTTACATTCCTACTAGTTGGGCAACTTTGGCCAAGGTGCCTTAACGTTTCTGAGCTTCAGTTTTCTCATTGTAAAATGGGACCAATAATATATACCATAGGCCTGTTGTGAAAATTAAAATGAATAACTCATGAAAAGTATTTAATAAATGTTTGTTCCTTTCTCTAATGTTCTGTGAATTGATAAGGGGCAGAAGTTCCAGGGCCTAGGCAGTGTTCCAATAGAAAAGTCAATAACAGAGTTGAATTAAGAATGTGAAGAGATAACCCACAGAATAGAAGAAAATATGTACAAATCATAATAAGGATCTAGTGTCCAGAATATATAAAGCACCCTGACAAGTCAACAATAAAAAGACAACCCAATTAAAAAATAAGCAAAGGATCTGCATACACATTTCTCCAAAGAGGCTATACCAATGGCCAATAAACATATGAAAAGATGCTCAACACTATTACTCATCATGAAAATGCAAAATCAAAATTATAAGACACCATCACTTTGCATCCACTAGAATGGCTATAATCAAAAAGACAGATGATAACAAGGGTTGGTGAGGATATGGAGAAGTTGGAACCTCCATATGCTGCTTCTAGGAGTGTAAAATGGTGCAGCTGCTGTAGAAAACAGTTTGGCAGTTCCTTACAATGACCTAGCAATTTCACTCCTTGGGATATACCCAAGAGAAATGAAGACATATGTTCACTCAAAAACTCATTCACAGATTATCAGAGCAGCATTATTCATGGTAGACAAAAAGTAGAAACAACCAAAATGTCCCTCGATTGAGGAATGAGTAAATAAAATGTGATATATCCATACAATTAAATATTATTCAGCTACAGAAAGAAAAGAAGTACTGACAAATGCTACAACATGGATGAGCCTTGAAAACATCATGCTAACTGAAAGAAACCAGTCACAGAAGACCACATATTATATGATTCCATTGATATGAAATGTCCACAATGAGCAAAGCTATAGAGACAGAAAATAACTTAGTGGTTACCTATGGCTGCAGAGTGAGGCAGAGAGAATGGGAGAGACTGCTGGTGAATGCAGCATTTCTTTCTGGGAGTGATAAAAGTGTTCTAAGATTAAATAGTGGTGACATATGAACCACCCTGTGAATATACTAAAAATCACTGAACTGTACATTTTAAACAGTTTAATTTTATGATATGTAAATTATAGTATATCTCAATAAAACTATTTTTAAAAAACAGAACTTACCCCATAGGGACGTGAAATACAGCATAGGGAATATAGTCAATAATATTGTAATAACTATGTATGGTGCCAGGTGGGTACTCGACTTATTGGGGGGGATCACTTCATAAATTATATAAATGTCTAACCACTATGTTGTGCACCTAAAACTAATAATATTGCATGCCAACTTTAACTGAAAAATAGCAAAAATAAATTATCAAAAAAAAAAAAATAGAGCTTACCCAATGGGACCAGGACTCAATTCTCCCCAACAGGGAGACCAGGCCATTGTCCAGAAAAAGATTTGCCATTTCTGAAACCTGGGAAAATAACCTTAGTTTCCTCTGACTTTGGACACAACACGGCAACTTGTCCTGGATCCAAACCACGTTTGTAAAAAAGAACAGTGTCTACAAACCGACATGAAAGTGACGGGGAGAACGTGCTGTGCAGTGTGTCAGCTCACCTGACTCAACCACACATACTCCCAAGCAGTTCACAGCCAGGCTGGAGGCAGAAATCCCTGACTCTGGGGTTTTCAGTCACATCAGGAACTACAGGGAAACACGATTATACCCTATATATATATTATTATATATATATATATATATATTATTTCATCATTGTGAAGGCATATGGCCAAGTCAGGAGGGATGAAGCGATTTTATCTAAAAGTTTGTTAGCTTGATCCAACCTTTTAAATGTGTGGGGACCTCCCTTTGTATTCTTGCCCCAATCCCTGAAAACATTAAGGCAGACCTGTCCACCATACAAATCAGTGGCTGAGCTGGGACCACAACCAGAGGGTGTGAGTCCCATTTGTCACTGCCCCGTGCAAGCTACCATCCTAGATCAAGTCACTGTGCTGTTCTAGCACCTAGATTTTAGCAGTAACCTCCAAACTGGTCTTTTCATTTCCCCCTCCGGCCACCACCATCCCCCAGTCTGTTCTCCAGCAGTGATGCTTTTAAAACATAAGCCCGATAGGACTCCTCTGTTTAATGCCCTGCAGTGGCTGAAAGCCAGTGTCCTCACAGTGGTGTCAGAAGGAGGTGCCTAGCCTTCCTCGAGCCCTCCCCTCACCTCCTCGCCTACACATGCCCACTCGCTCACTCCACACTGGCATCTCCGATAGTCCTCAAACCTCCTGGGCAGGCTCACCCTCAGAGCCTTTGAACTCACTGTTCCCTCTGCTCTTCCCCCAGATATCGACATGGCATGCTCCCTCGATGATGCCAGGTCCTTCCATAAATATCTTCTTAGTGAGAACTGCCCTGACCGCCTATTTAGAATCGAACTCTAGCACCCCCTCCTCCTTTCCTGCTTTATTTTTCTTCATACTACTTATCATCATCTATCACACTATATAATTAACAGGTTTATTTTATTATCCGTCTCCCCCTTTGGCATGGAAGTTCCCTGAAGGCAGGTAGGTCCACGAGGGCTGATCTGTTCACTGCTGTATCCACAGCACCTAGAACAGTGCCTGGCACATAGATGACATTCAAAAAAATCTTCATGGAACGAATGAATGAATGAATAATTCTTTGCCTCACAGGTAATAGCTGCAACATTGAAGGGCTGTGCAGAGGTTAAACACAGCTAAATTCGGACTGGTTTCAGGGCTGAGCAAACAAAGAGAGGGTGATATCCTGGAAGGCAAGAGGGCAGGGGACATGCCCAACAATTTCAAATGCCACAGAGAAGAGGAGCAAGATAAGGACTGAACAGTGAGGCTAAAAAGATGAACACACGGATCTGGCTTGAAGATTTCCCTATGAAAACACACTACAGAAATATTCATTAATATTTTGGTTGTCATGACTATTAATCACTAATTAATTTTATCATTCATTTTTCTAATGAGGAGACCTGAGCAACCTAATAATAATAATAGCAATGAGTGGTGTTACCCTTACATAACTTTTTTCATCTTTCTGTAATCAGTCTCAGAATGCCCAGCTTTATGGCGATGCTGGGGAACAGGCTCAAATCCTAGGATGCACATCTTATTACGGCACCTTCTAAATATGTATCTATTATGATGGCTGCTAAGTGTGACTGGGAACATTGGGGAAACAAGGTTAGATATTTTGTCCCCTTTGAGTTCCTATAGTAGCATAACATCATGATTTCAGAAAGGGTTAACCTGGAGTCATAAAGCACCCTGGTTGAAAAATCATCAAAGAATAATTAGGAAGCTCCTGTGTGTCAGGAACTAATTAATCTAGCTGCTTTCTGCTTTCACACGATAATGTAATTTCCAGAACAAGCTAATGAGGAGATTATTATTCCAGTGTATGGCAGGAGATCACACCCTGAATTCACACAGCCTGGGTTTTCATTCCAGTCTTGCTACTTACTGGCCACATGGCCTCCAACATGTTTCTAACCTCTCTGAGCCCTGTAATAATAGCACCTATCTCTAAAGAATAGAAGGAGGGTTATAAAAAAATAATATGTGTAAAGTTCTCAACATAGTAGTGACCTCTACAAGAAGCTCTCAGAAGATATTTTGTTCCAACAGTTAGTGAAAAAAATGAACCTGAAAAAGCCTGGGTAAGTAATCTGCCCAGTGTATTCTATGCAGTAACTGAGAGAGTCAAGATTTGAATCCAGCTCTTCCATGCCCTGATATAATTCTTTCTCCGTCTCATCGCAGTTATCTCACCACATTTTCTAGTGGCAGGGGTGTGTCCTTGTTGAATGTGAAAGTTACACAGCCAGCTGAGAGGACCTCCAGCTCATGGTGATGTCAGGTGGGACTGCAGTGCTCTGGGGCCTCCGTTGGGCTGGCAAATTCAAAAGGGCTCACTCACGCGTCTGATGCCTTGGCAGGGAGAGTGGAATGCCAGGCTTACTGGGGATGCTGGGACAACCACAAGATATAGCACGAAGTCACCAACTGCTGATTGTTCAGGAAAAGCCTTATGTACGTAACACACTCACATTTCCACCATCATCCGTGTTTGCTTTATGGTAAGCACCTAAGATGTCAATTCCTTGAAATTAAGAACTCATCTGCCTTATTCATTGCCAGACCCCCAGAGCTGTGCCTGGGACATGCAGAAGCTTAGTAAATATTTGTGGATGAAGGTAAAAAAGGGAGAGAGGGAAGAAGGAAAGGAGGAGTGGAGAGAAGGCATAAGAAAAGCCCTCCCAGGAGTGTATGTTGGTATTAAAGAAGTAGAAGGAGGCGTTGCTTACTGTGAAACCCGGCCTCCTGTGTGTCCAGTTTCCATACAACACAACCCAGAGACCATCCCCTTCCTCGCCTACTTCCAGAGAAAAGTAAAGGACAGTATCTCCCACTGGACTCACATTAACTGCCATCTACCCCAACCATCACCACCATTTTCCATCACATCAACCAAAGCAGAGAGTGCCAAGCCCAGC